GGATCCCGAAAATATGTAGATCTGTAGGCTGACATCAACTTAGACTTACAGTATGGAGCGACTCATCGATCGCTCGTCAATGTTGTAAAAAGAAGAAGATGAAGAGGGTTTTGAGACATCAAAAGCCGTGTTCTGCCCGATAAAAAGATCCAAAACAGCCGAAAATCTTGCATTAGACTTCTAGAGACACTCCTTGTTTATACAAAACTGTTCTCAACTGTAACGCTTTTTTCACAACTTATGCCAGATACGACGTAGCAAATGCTTTTCGACCTTTTTCAAAACGTGATTGTAAATTTGAAAAGCTTGAAAAATTCGTGCGTAGTGAACATCATTCATAAACGGTCCTTTACACAAGTTTAATCTTTTTCTTAAAAAAACATCTTTTAGATGTCCTATCTCCAGTCGCTTTATATGATAGAAGTTCCTACCAGCCATCAGGATCTTACCCATAGCAAAAGATTTTTTTGAGAGGTAGCAGCAATAAAACGGTGTTGTTGCGGCTCGCGATCGACCCTCCTCACAGCATGTGGCTGGGAGCATCGTGTTGCCGCGCGTCTCGGTCGTGAGCACGGTCGCCGCGCCTTACGGCGGCTACCTTGTTCGCTCCGAGACCACACCACGTAGGCACGCCCCCAGCCACCGCTATAAATAGCGCGTACGCGCGCCAGTGCGGCTCTTCTCTCGTCTTATCATCTTACTATTATCGTCGTGCCGCCGTTATTATTGATTGGCTGGGTCTCTACGATATCGCCGTCGTGTCTACGTCCCCGTGCCTCGCGCGATTGGATGGATTGTTGATGTATTGTTTGAATGTACGCGCGAGGATGGAATTCCAGGATGACGAACGCCACGAAGCGCCTCGGACGCGCAGGATTCGTTGGGAGCTCTGCTTGATGTTGCTGGTTTACATCACGGGGTCAGTGTTGCCGTGCCGTAGCTGCTGCCTTGGCGGCGCGCGGCCGGCCTGTGGGTAGTTCCCTTGGATGTCGGGAGTGTGTGTGAGCGTGTCAGCGTGTGAGTGTGAGTAAGCTAGCGTCCCCATCGGTAGCCCGGGGTAGAGCTCAACTCTCCCCGTGGTAAGTATGTTTACGTTTATTTGCGTCGCGTATATATCGTGTGTATTTGTTTAGTAAATTTACATATTTTCGTTGTTTTGTGTGCAGTGTAGGCGTGACGCGCCATTGCGAGTTAGCGCGCGCCCTCAGTGGCGAAAGTCCTTCGGGGACAGGAGCTGAGGCGTATGGCAGTCGAGCACTAGGTGAGGGGGGCGCAGAGCCCACCGAGCCGCAACAGGTGTAGATACTTTTGGGACACCCTATATACTATGGATATACATATTTTCGAGTATTCGATGCTTATCAAATTTTCGAATAGTCAATGCTCATCGCATCTTTGAATATTCTGTGCTTGTTAAAATTCGAATACTCGGTGAACATTGAATGATCGAATTGGTGACCATCGCATATTCGACTATTGAACAATATTCGAAAGTTTCTCGAGTATTTGATTTTCGAATAGTATTCGAAATTTGATTTTCAATATTTCGACTATCAAATTCGAAATCTCAAAACTTTCGAATATTCGAATTTTCGAATTTTCACTCGCATGATTTATTCGAATAATTGGATAACATTCGATTCGGTCCAAAGTATAACAGATACAGACTAAAATTTGCGAAGGTTTCATTTAACGCCGATAAACGCCAAAATTATCCTGCAACTCAACTGGAAGTGGACACATTCAATTCAGCGCAAAAAAAGAGCCAATGCGCTAGGTCTTCTGTGCTTCTTTTAGAATTCTAAATGGAAATAGTAGAAATCTTGCTGCGGAACGTTCAAACGAAAAATGTGCCACATTTTCAGCGGAATTCAAATCCATCAGAACGTCCTAGATTATTTGAACTTGATTATAAAGAAAATTCATCCATTAGTTATGCGCTCCTCTTCCTTTCAAGCTTTCATATTTCCCACTCAAAGCAAGCTTTACAAGATGACCTCTGAACATTGGCTTGAATCCTAGTTTAAGCAAAGTTCGGAGCCGAAACATAAGAGCAGATCATAGTGCCAAAAACCGTATCTCTTTGCTCCAAAAATTCCCACGAACCTTACACTTTTTTCCAGCATGTAGCAAACACACGTACTTATCCATCTGTGCACTTTTATATTTATTTCGTGATTGAAAATCAAGAAATAATCGGAAAACGAAAATGGCAAACTCCGCTCTCAGTAGTCCGGACTCATATATGCGGTTGTGTACTACAAACCTGCAAGACTTTAGCCATGATCTCGGCCTTCGATATACTCCCTTTCTTGAGAAATACCAATTTTAGCTGAAAAAACTGGGGAAAAAAGCGGTAATCTTTTCTTTCCAACCTAATATATAGCAAAAGACTTAGGTGTAGTGTGTATGTATGAAACTTCATAGAGTGATAGTGATTTGGTCGAAACCATCAACTAAGTTTTCGGAACACGGGATAGCCAGCAGCTCCACATCTTCTCAGTGAAATCAAGAAGTAACCATTCGGAAACAATGGAGTTGGTCAGTTCTTCACCTATTCTAGATTTAGCAAAGCGATGTCACTGAAGAAGATCAAACAACCATTCATGCTCATGCTTAACTGCCTTCATTGCACCTTCCCTAATTTGCGGTCCTTTAGCCTCGCATTTTACCATGATCTTCTCCAAACAGTAATCAAGTATGATTACCACTATGTAACCATTGTTGAACCATCACATTATATGCAGAGCTCGGCACGAGGTGGCTTTCCAAAAATGAGTTAAACGAAGTCCCCTTGACTTTCGCAAATTTTTACGAAGTCCCGTTTGTCTCTAAACCCTAAGGTAAAAAACCCTCAAAAGCGAAACGTGGACTAAAGAAACGTAATCTAAGTTATGTTCTTTCTGCCATAAAAAAGATATTTTGTTTGTTTTTTGTCCCAAAAACGATATCCAGATAGCTTATAAGCCACCTGCGCCGAGCCCTAATTATATTAGGTGGATGCATGATTCCTGCACCAAAACAGTACAGACAGCAATAATACACTTCTATATCCTAAATAGATCCTGATATACCATCCGATATGTAGAGCGAGGTTAGCTTTACAGACAGTGCTTAAAGTTTTACAACAGCTTTGATCCAAGCGAAGATTGGAGCCAAAAACGGAAAAGATCCTAGCGCCTCAAGAAACTAAGAAAAAATTGGAATTCTATTCAAAAAAATCCTCCAAGATTTCTATCATCCTCAATGCATTGGCACTTCGTATAAGACATTTCTCAATGCAGTTGCTGTATTTTCCTCTCAGCTAGAAATTGAGAAATCGAAGTTTTCACGTTTTCCTCGCAGAACAATGCTGAGATGTTCTAGCACTGATAGTTGTATACTTCAGGAGGACCTTAGAAGCATGAGCACAGATTTTCAGCTTTTTACAGCAGCTGTTTACGAGAAATATCGAGTTATTGGCAGTTAGGCAAGCAAAAATTGGATAAAAAGAGCTAGCTTCGATACTTCTCGTAAACTAGCTTTTAGAAGGCTGAAAATGTAAAGTTTCAGTGCTAAAGGTATGTAGTATACAACTGTTAGTGCTAGAACACCTCAGCACTAATTTGGCAAAAACAAGAAAAACTTCGTTTTTTTATCGACTAACTGAGAAAAAATACAGCAAATACATAGATGAATGTCTTACGTGGAATGTCTACGCGTGAACAAGCAAGCAAAAATTTTTCTAGAAGTTTTTTAACGGAGTTACAATTTTGTTTTGATTCATCTCAAGGTTTTCGGACGCATGGTTTTTTTTTCAGTTTTCGGCTTGAAACTTCGCATGGATTAAAGCTGGTGTAGATATTTAAGCACTATTTTGTAGAGCTAGAGTTTCTCTATCTAATGATATATCAAATCCTATTTAGGATATAGGAGAATTTCGGATTATTGCGGCCTCTATCCATTTTGGTGCAGGAATTAAGCATCAACCTAATATGATGGTTTCAACCAAGATTACTACCACTCCATATCGACCTCGCTGAATATTCCAAACTACATCTAGGGCGGTTCGAAGAATTTCCGAATTCTTTGATTTCTCTGGAACATTGCAGGAAAAAGCCTTATTATTGATCACCAAGCCTTTCTAGAGTTTCACGCACAGTAAAGTGAAAGAAATGATATGTTTTCTAAGGCGGTTGCCACACGAAAGAGCGAACTGGAGGTAAGCAACAACTAGAGAATTTGCTTGCAAAGACAGAGTTTTTGCTCCAGTGATCTGCCGCACCAAGTAAGACCAAGATTCGGAATGGTCAGCTGTGGCTGATAAGTCCAAATTCCTATGATGCAGGTATTTGATAAACCGCTTAAAAAGCTCCATTTAACGAAAAAAAACCCTAGCTCCAATGATCAAAACGTGGCATGCAGAGCTAGGTGCCTATAGGCCAAAAAGCAAAATTTATCCATCGTAGACTTAAGTACGAAGTTTGTGTTTCATTTGATTGGTGATTGTAATGCGCGCAAGAAAGATGTTATTACCTTCCTACGAGATAGCGGCAATAGTAAGAGATTCTAGAACTTTGCGCCGTCCCTTCATTGCAAGTCATGAGTCACCACATAATCTTTTCGCAAGAAAAGCACCGCATAAATTACGTATAATTAGGAGAAGTCGCGACACTCAATAATACTCACTTCCTCTAAGTGCAGATATGGCAGCAACTGACATCAATCATGATGCTTGTTTTCTAATTTACCCGAATTTCTGTCAAAAAAGCCAGGCATACTTTGAAGATCGCAATCGCCACGCAATGTGGCACTGAAATGTCTGCAACTCATCGTAAGCGCACTTTGAATATATGAGGCACAAAACTCAAAAAGAAAAGTTCTGTATGCTTCTGAGGTTTGCCAGCAACGATAGCTTGAAGATACGCGGCAAAATGCCAAATCGCGTGGCGATTGAGATTGCGTGAAGTGCCCGGCCTAACTCTACAAGAGTTGGAGCACTAATTGCAGAAATCTCTAGGATGAGCGATGATGAATGCCCTGAAGCTGCAGATTTCATAACATATGTTCCTCAACATGTCGTTCTCTTTGGTCAATTACTCTTGTGCATGGCTACTATTGCTATAAACCTAATATTTATCAGACGTTGGAGAAAGAACCTATTCTTTCACATCAATTTCCGAGTAAGTATTGATTGTACTGCTAAAACACTGAAAATTTGCATGAAACCTGTTATTTCTTGGATCACACATCATAGCGCTGATTGTGAGCCAATTGTATATTGTGAACAGCTTTTTGATCCTTTGGCGACGATGCCATGAATAGTTTGCATTGATTTTGTAGTTCCAAAAACTTTATTCCCTACAATGAAAACACAAACTGCAAGTATGGCACATATGTATTGCTACTTTTTTATATAATTCTTGTCTTTTTGATTGTGGCGCATTCGTTCTCTGGTATCATAATGATTGTCATGTAAGCTATGACTTGGACCATTTCTGAGGAATTCTATCATGGCACTAAGGGCCACGGCTGAGCAATTTTTGAAGGGAAAAGACAAACGAATCGTTACGCATTTGCCTGAAATCTTGTAGTTTAAGGGGGGGGGGGGGGGGAGGGCTTACACGGCATGCTGGCTACGAAAACGACATCCACTTTGCGGTAGATATATACTGTTCCAAAAAAACTTAAGTTTTTGAACACCAGTGGGATAATTTTTCACCATGACAACAACCAAATGTAGTATCGTTTGGTACATCATCCATCTTATGCTTCGCTAAAATCTGACAGTTTCGACTCTTTGGCATTATTTCCAAGGCGGGCATTCGACTAGTTGGCTTGTCGAGGGCGGGCGCCAGATTTCGAATTGTGTTCAACTTGTGATTATTTTTTTCGCTAAGCCTAGTAGTCCACCTCCGACAACATTTTGCTTACTTCCGCTTCACTACAATTCGTTTATGTCGGACTCATTTTTGCCGAAAACCGTGAACCTCAGATTTGCCGCTACTAGGAAAATGCGCAGATTTTTCTCATTTTTTCGTCAAAAACAATAGTTTTTCATCAAAAAACCAAATAGTCAAGATTATAGCACACCTTTTAATCTGATAATGCCAAAATTTGAGTGTTCAACAATAGAGAGGTTATGGACGAAGTTATAGAACCTACGTGCTAACATAATAAAAGGCTAGTGATTCGGAAATGATTATGTGAACCTAGAGAATATGATATGTCACTAAAAATACTAGAAAGAGGATCTGTTGAGAGCAAATTCGTTACATTAGGTCCGTACATTCCAGATATTACTGTGGACAATAATCACCGTCAATATCGGGCATTCTGTCTTCCTAGGGCCACTACAGGTAAAACCAGAACTCCCGCAGTTTAACAGAGATTTTATACCGATTTTAGGGACTTCATTTATACAAAATATATACGGCGATCAAGCCTTGTGATTTGCTGGTTACCGCCGCCTTCTGTTACTCGTTGAGAATGCCAACAACTACGTGTTTTCTTGTACACACTGCTGTACATATTTCTATAGTGATTGAGAGAGCAATGGCTCTCAAAAACCTCGACACTTATGAGTCTCGCACCTCATCAGCTGGGATAACGATGGCTGTTCTATCGGTAACGTTGTGCTATTACGCGATAGTCTCTCTAGTCAAGTTTTAGATAGTCTGTTCCTTTGGTGTGATCATTTTTGCTATGAGCGATTACGACTTTGTTACGAAGCAGATGTACTGTTCAGCAGTGACTCCAGAAACACTTTTTAAAGTTTCTCTGAGTAGCATTATTACGGTAATATTAGAAGCGTTTACTATTGTATGCTTTTTTTGTGTATACTACGCAAATTCAAAGCAAAGGTAAGTTTTTGGAAATGCTTATAAGCTTGGCGACTAACTATATGAGTTAAAGCAATGTTTACTATATTCGCATGAAGTACCAAGCTCGAGAAAATTTACTGGTACTACGCTTACTAATACCACTAGTTATTTTTCATTTCATAGTGTACAATATCTTCCTAATTGGGTTGGCAACCGCGCCAATGATTCGCACTCTCCTCAGTGCTAATGCATTCAGGGCATATATTTCTATTGTCTATGTAAGTTACCGCTTTCAGTTCAGATTATCTATAACGCTTTCGCTATGTTCCTATACAGATTGTTCCCATCTATACTACCTGCTCGCCCATATTGTTGTGGTATATCTTGCGAAACTATCAGTTATCACGGAGTAAAGTCCTTGCCAAGATGTCTTCGAAAGTCAATGATGCAAATGATGTGTATTTCTCTAATTATGCCTGGAACAGGAAATGAATTTTTTTGATCTCATATATAGTTCTAACGAGCAAAAGAGAAACATATTCATCCTTATCATAAAGTCTTTTCTTGGTCAACTGAGAAATTGAGTAAAGGTTTGTACAAGAATTGGTATACACCTCTTTGAAGATGTGCACAATCTATAGGGGAACGAAAGTTGCGTTCCGGCCATCAAAATGATAACATACCCTCGACGTCAATCCCTAAGTTACATTTGCAAAGTGGAGTGGTGTGGTGCAGCCGCCTCGCTTTGCGCTGCGCCACGTTGCTGGGGCATCGTCTAGACGTGATGTGGCGCTAAAAACAACGTGGCGCCACAACATGCTCAAACGTGGCAACAAGAACAACGTTTCTTCGTTGCTCCTGTTGCCACGCCATGCCAACTCATGCGCTCGCAAGGTGGCGCTAGCCCAAAGCGAGGCGGCCGCACCACAACACTTCACTTTGCAAATGTAACTTATGGATTGGCGTCGAGAGTATATCATCGGCTTCACGATTCGTGTAGAGGCGGGGTTATGCCAACTCAGTAACTAACAAGTTTACCTGTGTTATCAGGCAAAGTCTGCAATACACCTCTACACAAATCGTCGAGACGATCATACATATAGACCAGTGGCGTACCCAGGATTTAGGCTCGGGGGGGGGGGGGGAGGATGTGCGCGTGCAGCGTTCGCTCCTGTTCAATTGATACTGCTTGTGCGCCTCTCCCAAATTTCGCTTTCGATGTTTTTGTCATTTTGGGGCTTTTCCGTGCCCCTGTTTACAGTTATGACATTATAATTTTCCAAAACCTCTAAAATCCCAATTTTCGGGAACCCTCTCTTCAGATGGAGGACGAGTTTCGAACTGCTCGACCCCGTCGGCATGCCAGCGAGGAGCAACTGCATAATAGCCTGCAGTTGCAGCTGCAATTGCAGCGTATACTGTCGTGGATTCGTCGCCCGAAGGAAGCGGACCGCAAAAAGCAACTGCACTGTTGCAACTGAGTTGCAATTCAACGGCAGTTGCAACTGGAAGTGCAACTGCACTGCAGTTTACGTTGTCGTGGATTCGTCCGAAGGAGGCGAAAGAAAGGGGCGGAGCGAAAAGAAAATCAGGCTGGCTTTCTCCGCTTAGAAGCAACATTAAGAGACCGGACCAACGCAGTTGGTCTTCTTTTGGGCGCTAGATGTACATGGTATAGAGAACTGGGTAACTTAGAATCTGGATGTACGCTGCCTTTAAGTAACTAGTAGAGTAGTTGCTATACCTTTCTAAATGCCGAGCCGAGTTGGCGCTTAGAGTAGGATGAGGGGGGGGGGAGAGACATAGAAAAAAAGAGGTAGAAAGTATAGCATTGAGCAGATACACTACTTCTCTAATCAAGAAAAACTGAATGAGCCCATCTTTGATAGTGGCCATCTGATAGTGTTTTTTACGATATATCCTTACATGTGTAATTCACCTTGGCTTTCTTATTTTTGAATTATGAGTGAAACATGATTTTTAGCCTGAAAATCTGCGCCAAATAGGCACTCTTACAAATGAGGTGCCCCAATATAAAAAAGTAACGGATATTCTTTGTACATTTAAGCAACCAATAGAAAGAGCTTGGAAAGTGCGTTCGAATAATACGTCACAAGTTCCACAAATTCGGATCGCGTTCAAAAAAGTTTGTCTGACTTCTTCGAAGTACCGCTCGAAGACTGCGGGAGTGGAGCCACAAGCTGCTGCCAGAATAACAAGGCCACTTTATATATAATAGAAGCGTTTACATTGCTGAACGTCTGTCTTCAATCAGGAAGAAAGCCCTCAAAGTTGTAAAGAATTAAGGTGAATTATTGATTCTAGATTATGCTGATAGTGGCGTTGAGCGCATAAGCAACCGTCGTGATGATGAATACTGGAAAACAAGTCCTACCACAAAAACGCCTATCCACATCGGATGGGGATGAAAAAAATGACGCATTCTAACAAGAGCTCCATGTGCACATCTGTAAATTTCACTCCATAAGACACTCCTGCTAAGGGCGAATCTCAACGGATATGTGGGAGAAAAGCGAGAAGGAGTGGGAAAATGTCACCATCACGTATAGAGTGGCGACCGACGTAAACAGATAGACTTCTGGGTTATCCGACAGTGTGACCTCTAAAACTAGCAATGGATAGGCCCACCAGGAGAGCCACGGAGACCATGACACTCATCAAATGCTGGAACTGAGGACCACCAGCGCAAAGAAGCAAACAATACTAATATTCCTTCCAAACTGCAAAAGAATCCAGAGGGTCCTGGGCAAACCTAGGAGATCATATCCACCAGGCACCACACATGATCCTGGTAAGTAAAAAGCTGGAAAAGAAAGATCATTCAAGAAACGTATTCGTGGAAATGCAAACAGTCCTAAAGGAGAAAGAGAGATGCGCAAGCGATGGCATGATACAAAATATGATAACTATTGTCAGATATAACAATCCAAGAAGCTGCGAAGGCTTCTGTAAGGAAGGCAAAGCAGGTGTTAAAGAAGGAGCTCTGCGAAAAACCTGCAATTTCGCTTGGAAAAGCGTGAGACATACTGTAAAGCGAGAAGAAGAGCAGGCTCACAAAAGAAAGCACTCCTCCCTTATCAAAAACAAACTTGGTAGGAAGCTAAGAAACCAGAAGACATCATCGAAAGATGGAGAACCTATTTCGAAGAGATGGCCACCAGGCCGCATCGTCAACTCTATTGGCGAAGTCAGTTCCACAGATGACATACCAAGCGAGTTCTGGAAAATGTGTGGACAGTCCGGAACAGGGCTCAGCATAGGTTGCGCTTTCTCATGCTGGATGTCGTTTTCTTAGATAAAACCAAAAGAAAGTTCGTAGAGTTCCCAAGTGATTTACGGGAATCTGATTAGATAATAATGGGCGAAAGCTAACCTTTAGTAATCCCTTAATTCAACTCTGACGTCATTTCACAAGTAACAGGCAGACTAACACGTTACAAACAGGATAAGCGCTAAGACCAATGTGCACACGATTTTAGCGTGTTAAAACACAATTTTTATGCACAAAAAATAAATAATCAGTTTGTTTACAACCGGTAAGGAAAATTGAGCCACCAAATTTGGTGTGTAGCTTCGCGACCACGATCAAAAGGAAAGTATGATAAATTATGAAAAAATTATGTGAATGAAAAGAGTTGTAAATGTTTTTCTAATTTATGTTGCTCCCGCGCAACCTGGGAGCACCCTGAGGTTGCGCGGAGCCAAACAAAGTCATAATTTTCTCCCTTCTTCACATAATTTTCCAAAATTTTTTACATAAATCAATTCTTCAGTTCGAACTATATCGTCTCATCTGCCTTGCTACGGCTTATATTGATATAAAACCGCTTTTTTTACGTTTTGATGTGTAATCTAAACCGCCAACAAGAGCCCCTCCGTTAGTGTTACAAAACCTATTCGACGAACTTTCGTAATCTAACCGTCGCCCAATGAGTTTATTACTGAGCAATTGTATCAAGCCAAGGAGTTCCAGCGCACTTTCGCTCTCATTTTGAATAATTGTTTTCGTAGTCTGTTCAATTGTTACGCTTTATGTGGTTCAAAACTGTAACACAACACAACCTCTCAATAAAGGTTGATTTTCCAGTGCCTCCTGAAATAGCGCACATAAAAAGCGAATGACTCCAATTTTGGATCCGCTTCTCCTATGCTTTTTTGCTTTTAGTTGAGAAACCCAAAAATAATTATTAATGTGGTTTTGTCATTATCAAAGCTACAAACTCGTATGCATGTCACAGAAAGTTGTGATCCTTTACAAGTAGTTATAGAATCTATTATCCAAGAAAAAATTGCGCAAAAATCACATTACTCTGAGTTCTAGTACTCTTTCGTAATCCGAACCTACGTTCCAGCCAAGCCCTATCAGCTGTGTACTCTACCTTGCAATGAAGATTCTTCTGAATTTGCGAGGGTTACGAAAGCAGCAAGTTTTGAACAAACTTGATAAATAAATTCGAGCAAGCCCCGTAAAAGCCCAAAAAGGCATACACGATTGAGCCGGGTATAAACTTCAACATCTTGCTCTTGGCCAAATGTTAGGTCTGTCCGAAAGCTCGTTTTGTTTTCCGACCTTTCATCAAGACATTCAGAATACGAAACTGCAGTAC